TGTGCTCCTTATGCTTCTATAAGAAATATTTTCTGTTGTTTTTTTTTGTATGATAAATTTTTTCGAAAACACAAATTTCTTTTGGGCGAGGTGCGTATTGCTCTCCTATCAATCAAAAAGAATACTCTTGGATTTATCGCTTAGGAGATATCACTTTTTGCTCCTAAGCGAGTAATACGGAGTACAAAACCGACAAATCTCGCTTATTGCTCCCAAATCATGCCTCAGGGAGCATTCTTTAATTGCTCGCTTAGGAGATCTCTCATTAAGCTCCTAAGCGAGCAATACAGGAGTACAAAACCGAGAAATCTCGTTTACTGCTCCCAAATCATGCCTCAGGGAGCATTATTTCGTCGCTCGCTTAGGAGATCTCTTATTTGACTCCTAAACGAGTAATAAAGGAGTACAAAACCGACAAATCTCTCTTATTGCTCAGAAATCAGGTTAAGGGGAGTACTCTTTTATTCCTCACATAGGGAGATCTCCCTTCAAGTTCTAGTGGGTAGTTACTACATCAAAAAAACTCCATACAGAAGTAATTTTAAGTGGCTTACCCAAGAAGGATTGTAAAAAGAGCTTCTCTAATTGTCTTCTATGCGAATGTATCACTGCCGGAACAAAGTATTGGCACAGCAAATTTTTCACAATATATGCAACAATTTTCATTCTAATATTTTTCGCCTAATTTAGTATAAAAATATGGTTCATTCTACAATTCCTAAACTTTGTGTAATCTCGCCAAAATTCAGCAAATTTTGATGAAAATTTTAACAGCATACCCAAAAAAATTCTAAAAAATCTGATTAGAAGTTTAGGAATTATATTTTTATGTTTTTTGTTGTTGAATGAACTATCTTTTTATACAAAATTGGTGGAAAAATATTAGAATAAAAATTGTTGCATATATTGTGAAAAATTTGCTGTGCCAATACTTTGTTCCGGCAGTGTATATTGTGATGCAGATCTTTGACAGCAAATATTTATGACTTGTTAATGTGTTTTTACTTATTTTTTTCCGAAAATTGGTAGCACAGACTTTGGCAAACTTTCCCATAGTGTAATATTAGGTGCGTTCGACAAGTCAAAAATTTGTAATAGTTTTCCAAATTTTTACTGGATGGCGTTCGATAACGACAAAAAATTATCCAACACAAAAAAATTGAGAGAGCAAGCGCTCATTTTGATGCAAGAGAAGCGTTCATTTTGTACTGGCAAAATTTTAGTCAGCAAAAATTATCCAACACGAAAACATATGATCACAAAACATATGGTTGCAATTTCTGTAAACAAACCAAATTGCATTTTCCGAGTTTTGGTATTTATATGCTTTTTGGCTGCCTGCTATGTGACTTTATGATAGCGCCAACTAGTTTTTACTTCTAGAAATGTTCCTGGCGAACATTGAACGTTCACTTTCCTTTTTTCTTCTATTGAGGCAACATGAATTTTAGTTTGTTTACAAATAAAACATAAACAAAGTCAGCTGGTGTGTCTTGTTCTTCCGGTTTTTGCAAGTAATGGCTAATTTTTTACTTTTTTGCTTTTTCATCTCTTTGGGAGAGAATTTTCGCTTACTCTCTTGATTTTGATTGTTGGCTGGTGTTGGCTAATTTTGTTATCGAACGCAACTATTCTGTCGAACAATGCGCAAGACTTTTATAATTTACGGAGTGGAAGTACGCCCTTATAAAAACCCACCCACCGCGACCGCTTTAATACATATCCTCAGAGAAGAATGATTTTTATGAGCTACAGATACACTTCTGGAAAAGCTTGCTGTATGAACACTTTCATATAGCTACATAAATTTTAAAGCTCGGAACGGCTCCGATCGGCTCGGACCCGCGTCCCGTGTGAATGCACCCTTATAATAATATAATAGATTGGCGCTTACACATATGTTAGTGTTTGGCCGAATTTCTCCTCCGACTTGTGGCG